TGGATTTAATTACAACAGTAGAAATCCAAAATGTCGAGGTTAGCAAAGCTAGCCTTACCACGAATTTAATTTTGAGGAATGTGTTATCCGTAATAATTATATCTGGAAACTTTCTAGTCATTTTCGTTTCCATAAAGAACAAGATGTACCTGAACATGAACAGAAGAATACTAAGTTTAAGTATCGTTGATCTGGCAACTGGTGTTTTTGGACTTAGTTACGCTATAATAGCATGTATTCTTCAAGACAGTACGGCCACGCCCACTGTTCATCATATTTTTCTACATGTTATGTGGTGTTGTATCTACCTTTCTGAATGGCATCTTTTGGTTTTGGCGGCCGAGAGAACCGTAGCTGTGGTACACCCTCTTCGTTACTTACAATTGGCGTCTTTCAACGTGTTAACCTAGCTATTGCACTCGCGTGGATATGGGGTATAATGCTCAATCTGTGCTTAAGTTTCCTTTTTCATTTGTCTACTAAAAAGTACGTATTTTGTATTGACATAATTGGGCGTTTGTTGACATTCATCTTTTTGTCCTTTTCTCATCTAAAAGTATACATTGAGGCAAAATGTCAGGTTACTAAAATATCTTCTATTGAAAATCAGATATTTCGACATATAAGAGCAAATAAAAGGAAAGCCGAGTACCGTGCGTCCAGGACAACAATACTTGTATATGGTGGCTATCTCGTTAGTTATTTCCTGTATTTGATTTACATTATTTCTTCTTTAATTGTATCATATGTTAAAGACGCAGACGGAGAAGAGCTCTTAAACTCAACGTTGGACACTTTCATCACCATGCTTGTGTATGCTAACACTGGAATGAATTCAATCATCTACTCTTATCAAAACAGGTTGTTTATGAGGAACGCTGTCAATTCAATAATTTTCTAAGGTAATGAAGTTAAATGTTACCGTCATACGTAAATGTATTTTCTATGGTCTAAATATCGAATAACCTTTTAATTTCAATAACAATTTGTTATAATTGTAAACTGTATACTCTGAAGAAACAATTATAGATTAGTTAAAATTTATAAAGGTATTAATTGTGTTTGTTCCTGCATTTATGTTTTATTTATAAAAAAATCACACCTACTGCCTTCACCTTCCATCGAATTTTGCAAACAGTTCAGTCTTTACATCTATGTACAGAATATTACTTGGAGGATTGCTAATATTGAATAATAATAATAATAATAATAATGATAAAAAACAATGTCAATAAAATAAATAAACAAATAAATAAATAAAAAGGAAAATGGATAAAATAAAAATTATCTGTGGCCATATAATTTGGTTAATTAAAGTTTGTGAGTTTGTGTTTTATTACTTGGGATTAAATTTACATAATGATATTAATTTATATTGTTAAAATCAAAATGTTTAAACCTTAATGGGTTTTCTTGTACTGTTGTCATCTATCAAACCCTGACACATAAATTCATTTTCATGTTAATTGTTATTCTTCAGATTCCTTTATAACTTTTAATTGTTTTATTTACAATTCCTTAAAATATATATAGTCAACAATTTGCATGCATTTACCTTTTTGCAAAAGATTAAACCACATTTGACATTGACTTAATTGAAGTATTTGTCTCATGTTAAAATCCAATTGCTTCCTTATTGATTTCATTGTATATATACATACATACACACACACATACATATATATAAAGAGAGCTAAATGCAGTGTTCGAAAGGACATAATACATTGTGTAGCATAGCTCTCAACGAATGTAGTCCTGTAAATAAATGAATAACGGCTATCTTGATT